GTGGCTTGCGACATCGTTTCTATGGGTTCCGGGGGAGTCTGCTCCGCCGACTCCTCCTGGCTGGCACTGGGTATGTCACTGGGTTCGGTCTGGGTATGGCACTCGGTCGGCTGGGTATGGCTGGCTTCACTGGCTTTTGTTAGTTCCAGCGGCTGGACAAGGATTGGAGGCGGAAATGCTTCTGCAGCAGGATCCTGGGGCTTTGCTGAACCCGGAAAGCTCTCGTCTTCACTGCAAACGGGCGTATCCGTCTGTATATTGACATCCTGCATTTGCGGCAAAAGTTGAGTCGATCCCGAGACAGGAATCTCCGCCAGGCGAGGTGGTGTCTGCGGCGTCAACGGTGCATGCAGCTTATAGTTCAGCGCCGCTTCATCACTAACCGCAGGCAGCGGCGTGGCAGCAGGCAGCTCTCCACCGTTGCCATGCATCGATAGGTTGAGCAATGCTGGCGTGGGCGTAGCCATGGCACCCGACTGGAAGAGATGGTGGGGCGTTGCATGTCCTAGGGAAGACGGCTCCATGGTGGCCGAGGTGGGCGGCGTGGGCAGACGCATCAGGTTCAATGCCTGCTCCTTATCCCGCGCCGCCTCGAGCGGCACAAGAGGCGGCAATGCCAGCGGCATTGAGTACTCCTCTTTCATTCCTGGCGGCGGCGGCAAGGAGAGAAGTGACGGAATCCCAGGCTGCCCAGTGGCCAGGCTAAGGAAACGGGAGCTACTCGCACTGAGACTACTGCTGGAACTTAAGCTGCTAGCCGCATTGCCGCTTTGCGTGACCCCCGAACCAGCGGCCAGGCTCAGATTAATGGTGGAATTGGTGGTTGTGGTGCTGGTCTGCTGATTGCTGTGCTGGCACATCGTCGAGCTGCCCGTCGCAGTGGCCGCAGCAGCCAGATACAGCTGCAGGGTGGATGCGTACGATGGCGTTGTGCTCAGCGCCTGGTGGCCGCCCATAGAGGGAAAGATGAAGTTGGGCAAACTGGACAAGTTGGGCGTCGGCTGCAGCGAAGCAGCTGCGGCGGCTGCAGCAGCGGAGTGACCACCAGGTGCCGGCGCCTGGGGGATGTAGGCCGAGGGCCAGACGAAGGCCGCCGCAGCCGCTGCCTGCTGGAACGGATCTGTGGGCGTTAAGAGGGGAAAATTTGATATGCCTGCTGTGCATGGACGTGGTAGCGATTCAGTTAAGTCGTAGGTTCAAGTTCGGGGTTTTTTGGAGTTTGAAGTTTGGAGTTTGGAGTTGTCGAGGGAGTGGCGGAGGGAGAGAAGCGCAGTTTAAAAGCATGAATTAGTTTTGTTTTGGCGAATCGAGTCTCGAAATCAAATTAACCTAGGACACCTAGGAGGGTGCTGGCATGCGGAGTGCGAATGAGGAGATCAGGCCGATCCTCCCGGCTGACTTACCGAGCGCTGTTGGGCCGGCCGGCAGCAGCACCACCTGTCCGCGACTGGCCTCCCGCGAGTACTGCAGGCCCACCGTGGCGGGCGACATGGAAATCACTGATTCAATGGGTAATGCATCTACAAAACGCAACGGAAAAAGAGAGAACCAAAATATAGAGGTGGAGACAGAGTGTGGCGGTGAGCACGGATTGTTTTTTTTTATCTCATTTTTCATTTAGCATTTTCTGCCGGGGATCTACTTGTAGCATGCTCCGAACATGGACAACTTACTTGGATACTGCCAGAAGGTGGAGGGTGCGCGGTTCACACCTGCTGCACTCAGAGCCAGTTCCTCGGCGGTGGCTGTGCCGGTGGTCATCAGGTCGCCGTTGCCCGTAAAGTACAAATTGCCGCAACTGGTGGCACCTGAAAGAGCCAAGTAAAAAGGATTCAGTAAATTTTTGGCGCTTCTTTCCTTTCCTTTTCTTTGGGAATCGAAATTCTGAGTAGAGTATGCCAACCTCTTCGCTTGACGTTCGTTTGTTTAATAAAGTTTCGGGCCTGCCGTGTAACTTTAGTTGTAAGCGAAGATGTGTATGTATACGTGAAATATTGCAGTGTCCTTGAACTATGCATTTGATGACCGCGTGCGCCCAACCGCCCACCACCACGCCATCCAAGCAACTATCACACATCCCAATCGTTTCGAATAACCCACCCCCGACCCTCTGGCTGGATAATTTCAACAAAAATTCGATTAAAACGAACGTGATGCCCTGTAATTGGATTACATTATGGGTTCTGAATTGGGAAACCCACCACCGCCCTCGAATCGAAATGAATGACAAGTATTCGACAGTGTCCCATCTCCGAAACGCAATTAGAGCTACATCTTTTGACAAGTGATTTGTTTCGGACCGAGAAACTACCCAGCAAACGTTTATAAATAGCATGTGACTTGTGGCAAGGAAGGAAAAAAAAAATAATAACCAAACGCCACGGCAAGACGACTCTACCATATGGTCGTGTACCAAAATCCAATTCGGCGTGTCATGTTGCTAGGTCCTGTTCTGGAGGATAACTCCCTGGGTAACACAGTTGCCTCTAGATTCCCATCCCCGGAAATCCACTCATGCATCGAGCATCCAGCTCGAGCATCCCTTATAGAGGTGATGCCTTACTTATTCCTGGTTCCCCCACAGAGATCTCTGACTACTACTTCTAGCAACAGCCACCGCTACCTTGACTGAAAAAACACCCACCCGAGCATGAGTCCATGAGTAATCTGTCTTTGGATTCTCGCTCTGATGTTCCTCCGCCTGGCGCCCACGCAACTGGAACTTCAGCTTCAGCTTCATTGGAGCGTGCTAACTAAGCCGAAGCCCTGGATACTCTGCTCATTGCCGAACCGTGAGTAATGCGCCTACTTTATAAGGGGTTTTTCAGCAATCAAAAGCACTACTACCCGACTGGTACGACGGAAATAGGTATTTGTTTGAAATCATCTTAATAATCTAAAAGGAAAAAGTATTTTCTGCATTCAAATAAACACCCCTAATCAAGATTAGGCTGTTTTGAAACGATTTTTTAGCAAAAGAGAACTTCTGGGAAGTACCCGGCATAAATATAAAAATAAAATTTCCGATACGCAACTGTTTTTCCTTGGGTTTTTATAACAGCATTTAACTTCTAGTATCATATATATGTAAAATAGAAAACTCCGCAAAAAGTTGCTTGTGATTTCAATTTTATCAGCTTTGATAATAAGTGACTAAGTGGAGATTCCTGGTAAAAACGTGACTGCTTGCAATTTTGTTTAGGCAAAGTAATACAAATTACATATTCAACGTGGTTAAGTGCAATGTTTCAATTGGCCTACCAGCATATCGCTCTACCTATTTATAGACGTTATCATTTTGAGTTATTTAACATGTAGTGATAAAACCCAAGTACACTGCTTCCTATACTCTTAGTGCTGATGAAGAGTGTGGCCCATCTGCTATTATTTTGTAAATAGATTGAAATGAAAAAGAAACCCATCCAAGATCGTAAAATGTTCGCCTCATGGACATGGTTGATTATTACACCATTAGCAGGCTTTAAAAATAATCCGGAAAATGAAATTCGATTGGCAATTCGGTGACGAAACACACCCCCAAAGGATATAAACATATTTAATGTGCCCATCTAGCAAGAGCAGTTCCAAGTCGGCCAAAGCCAAGTCGTCGCAGAGCCTCCCTTCTCAAATCGCAATGTGTTTCACTTTCGTTTCACTTCCGCTTTAGAAGTTCGTATGATTTACCACCGGTTTCCTTCTACCCGCAAGGGAGGATAAGGACAGAGCCGTTTTGAGTCGAATCCAGTCGATTCGGTGGCTGTCACAACAACGACAGCCGCACAACAGGCGGCCATCATATGATTCCTGCCCTCTCAACTCCAGCGGGTTGTTTTCGGCGGAGGCGACACCCTCGACCCATCGCTCACTGAAGGAATTCCGCACAACGCTGAACGTTTGTTGGCAATCTTATTAGTGGCATAATTGAACGACGTCCACGTCCTGGCTTCATAAGCATTATATACCGCTGCCCCTTGGGAACACAAACGCGCCGTTCATTAGGGCGCTCAAATCTGGTGACTCAATTCAATTAGATGCCCAGAAGGTACACGGATTGAAAAAAAAGTATGGCAAAGACAATGATTTTCGTAAATTTACATATAAATGTATCTGGAAAACAGCATCTAGTAATTTCGAATGATCCTCAAAGTAAAAGCTGTGGAAAAGTGTCTATGCAAGCGTTGGCTATCTTTAAGATATCAGAGAATTTAAGTTTAGATCCCATTGAATATCATATACTACTGTTAACACATTCTTGAGATAAAGATGCTTTTCTCTCTGTGTAGCTTGGCACTCACCGAGGTCAGCGACGCGTATGCCGAAGCAGTTCAAGTCCTTGTTAAGTGGTGGCTGCAGCGGCAGCGTGGCGGGCGTGTTTATGGCCGGCACCAGGGCTTCCTGCGTCCGTTTCCTGGCCACGGCAATGCCAATGGGCACGGAGTTGCCTGATGGAATTGTAATTAACCGATGAGGAGTGCTCTTGACCAGTGGCTGTGTGTCACCTACCTGAGGACTTTTCCAATTCCGATACCTTTGGCGAGGGAGCCTCTATTTTGACGAGAGTGGTCAGAGTGGAGGAGGACATGGTCTTGGAGGAGGCGGTCATCGAGGCGGAGGACAGGCCCTGATGCTGCACCTGCTGGTGGTGGTGCTGCTGCTGTTGCTGGTGGCAATTGTTGGAGCTGATCTCGGACACTTGGCAGGGTTCCCTCTTGATCTGCACAAAGGTGTACGACGAGTTGGTCTGCTGATGGTGATGATGCTGCAGGGGAGTCGCCGTCGCCGCCGAGAAGCCTCCGAATTGGTCCAGCTGCAGCTGGGCAGGATGGGCACCAGGATGCGACACTGCTGCAGTGGTGGGCACCAGAAAAGTGGCTGTTGCTGTGGTGGCGCTCAAGATATCGGCGGCACTGCTGCTGGCGCCAGGATTAAACGTGGCCATCGGGTAGCGGTGGCTGTGCACATATATGGCTACCGCTCCCTGGATCTCTTGGCTATATCTATTTCACTATATATCTTACGGAATCTACCAAAAACTAAACGTCCATTATCCGCTCACATAAACACACACACGGACAAACACTACACACGGACACACACTAGCACTGGCCCACACACACACGCACACAGTCTACATTTTTACAGGTTTTCGCTGCCTCTTTCGGATGCAACATTGGCTACTGGGCCTGCGGCAATTCCCCGTAAACAAATGACATAATCCAAAGCGACGCGACGCCACTGGGCACTATCCACACGTCGACGGAACCGGAGCACCCACCAGTCCAAGTGTGGTTGCCCAAAATAAAACCCTCTACGATCCGAGATCTTTTTTTTTTTGTTTTTTGGTGGGGAGGCGGAGGCGCGACTTTCCTGCTGCGTTGTTGCGTTTTTCCGCGGTTCTTCCAAAAGATTATCGAGCACTGGCTGTATAGTTGTTGGCCAACACACGATCTGTTGCTTATTTGTGTTTTTCTTTTGCGAATTGGAATCAAAATCCTCTGGAGAAAAGTCCACGGGACGGACAAAAAAGAAGCAGCGAATTATGTTAAGTTAACAGCGACCTAACAGCGACTATTCGATTTTACTTCTGCATTGTCGATGATTCACCAGCAGGCGTTAGGAAATTTTACGGGGACTGGTTTGGCCATCGGCATTTTTGCTATCGATAAAACTCAGAGCGCGTAATTTAAGAAGTTTTAACATTTCATGGAAACAGCTAATTTGTAATAAACATCATCTAAAAGATGAAAGTCAAATTTTATTTCCCATCACATAATAACAATTAAAAGTCGCCTAGAAATGCATATGGAATATGAAAGTTAACGAATGCTCTTACTAATCCAGCATTTTGCGGATCATATAGTTCAAAATGCCACCGTTCTTGTAGTACGTTATGTCCACTTCAGTGTCGAAGCGCAACGTGGTCTCAAAGACATTGCCATCAGCATCGACCTGGATCCTCTGGCCCGGCTTCAATTCGCCCTCGGGCAGGACAATGTTGTACACCTCCCTGCCACTCAGTTTCAGAGTTTCCGCGCTCTGGCCAGGCAAGAATTGCAGCGGAATGATGCCCATGCCCACCAGATTGGAACGGTGAATGCGCTCGTACGATTCAGCGATCACCGCCTTGATGCCCAGCAGGAATGGCCCCTTGGCAGCCCAATCACGTGAGCTACCACTGCCGTAGTCCTTGCCCACGACCAGAACCAAAGGTGTACCTTCGCGCGCATACCGTTCCGCCGCATCGAAGATGTCCATCTCCTCGCCACTTGGCACGTGCACGGTGCTGGGTCCGGTTTTGGAGGCCAGTTTGTTGACCAGACGGATGTTGGCAAAGGTTCCGCGCGCCATCACCGCGTCATTGCCCCGTCTTGAGCCATACGAATTGAAGTCTCGCGGCGTTAGACCCCTTTCCGACAAATAGCGCGCTGCGGGTGACTTCCGTGCAATGGAGCCGGCTGGCGAGATGTGATCGGTGGTCACCGAATCTCCCAGCAGCAGCAGACAGCGAGCCTTCTCGATACCTTTAAGTTTGGGCAGCGTCCGGGTCATACTCTCGAAGAACGGTGGTCGTTTAATGTATGTTGATATTCCACTCCAGGGATACAACTTGCTTTCAGACACCTCCAGTGTCTGCCAGTCCCTGGATCCCAGCTGAATTTTACCTGTAATAGCGGTCAGTTAGCACTGAGATCTTAAAAGTTATTGGATAGGTATACTCACTATACACCTCCTGGAACATGGCGGGAATAACGTGCTTTTGCTCCACATCCTGAATCTCGCTACGCGTAGGCCAAATATCGCGAAGGAACACCTCCTTGCCGTTGGAGTCCACGCCCAGCGGTTCGATGTCGAAATCAATATCCACACGACCCGCAATTGCGTAGGCAATCACCAGGAGCGGACTGGCCAGATAATTGGCCCTAGTATTGGGATGGATGCGACCCTCGAAGTTGCGGTTTCCCGACAGTACTCCGCAACAAACCAGCCCGTTCTTCTCGATGGTGTTCACTACGTTCTCATCGAGCGGACCCGAGTTGCCAATGCAGGTCATACAGCCATAGCCAACAATGTCGAAGCCCAGCTTTTCCAGGTAGGGAATAACACCGGATTCCTTGAGATAGTAGGTAACCACTCCTGATCCTGGTGACAATGATGTCTTGATATAAGGCAGAATACCTAAACCCTTCTGCACGGCATTCTTGGCCAGCAGACCAGCGCCCAACATCACCGAGGGATTCGAAGTGTTCGTGCAGGAGGTGATGGCGGCAATCACAACAGATCCGTGACCTATCTTATAGCTCTTTCCGTCGTCCCATTGGAATTCCCCACTGGCAGCCAAGGAACTCTGCGGTATGGCGAATCCCTTGAAACCGACAGGACTTATGAGGCACGACTTGAAGTCTTCGCACATGCTGGATACTGAAACCCGATCGTGCGGTCGCTTGGGCCCCGAAACCGAGGTCACCACGGTGGATAAATCCAGAGTTACAGACTGCAGGGTAAACAAAAAGGCTTGTAAGTATGTCTTTGCATAGTGAAACCGAATCCCACTCACCTCCGTGTATTGGGGATCCTGATCTTCAAGGGAATAGTCACGAAGTTGTCGAGTGGCCTTTAAATACTGCCGGATAATATCGATTTTCTTCTCGGAGCGATCTAAGGAACCAATCCATGGATATCTAGTATTCAATTTAATAAATGTTTTAGATTAACTCACTGGTTTGGCGCATGTAACTCAGGGTGTTTTCATCGATTGGGAAGTAGCCCACAGTGGCTCCATATTCAGGGCACATGTTGCTGATTGTGGCGCGATCTGCGATGCTGAGCTCCGCCACTCCGGGGCCGTAGAACTCCACAAACTTGCCGACGACACCCAGCTGACGCAAATGCTTGGTGATGGTCAACACCAGATCTGTGGATGTGGCCAGCGGGCCCAGTTTGCCCTCCAGCCTATAGCCAATCACCTCTGGCAGCAACATGGAAATTGACTGGCCCAGCATCACGGCCTCCGCCTCAATGCCGCCAACACCCCAGCCCAGAACACCCAATCCATTGATCATTGTGGTGTGGGAGTCAGTGCCTACGACGCTATCCGGGTAAAGGATCTTAGATCCGTCTGCTGAATTGTCGCTCTCGAAAACCACTCGGGCAAGGTACTCCAGGTTAACCTGGTGCACAATACCAGAACCGGGTGGCACAATTAGCATATTGTCAAAAGCGCGTGCTCCCCATTTGAGGAAGGTAAATCGCTCCTTGTTGCGTTGAAACTCCAGAGACTCGTTCTTTGTCAATGCGTCCGAGGAGCGAACGAAATCAACCTGAACGGAATGGTCGATGACCAGATCGGCAGGGCAGATGGGATTGATTTTCTCAGGATTGCCGCCCAGCTCGCGGACAGCATCCCGCATGGCAGCAAAGTCCACAACGGCGGGTACGCCAGTGAAGTCCTGAAAGTAGGAAATATCTCGAAAAGTTGCATACAAACATCATCGACTTGTGGATCCATACCTGCAATATAACACGAGCTGGCTTGAAGGAGACCTCCACATCGCTGGTTCCCTGCTTCAGTGATGGAGTCCATCCCAGGATGCTCTGCACATCCTTCTCCAGCACATGGAAATTGTCGCAGTTGCGCACCGCAGACTCCAGCAGAACGCGAATGGAAAATGGCAGCGAATCTGTGGGGGTTTATAATAATACTAAAGATAACAAAAATAATGATAACAATAATGACTACTTACCATATTTGCTGTCGATGGAGGGCAGATCAAAATACTTGTAGACGTTGCCGTCCTGGGTAAATGATTCCTGGAACTGGACGAAGGGATTGGCGCCTGCAACGACAACAGGGTTAGCTTACAGATCAAATATTCCCAGTTAAATCCCACCGGAGCCGGACATTGTGGAAAAATTGAACAGAATACCAAGCAATGTTATATAGAGATGGGCGCGTGAGGAACCGCTACAACACAAAACGAGCTCATCTCTAAAGCAAACGTTGAATTATCGATAACTGAACATCGAAACAAACCGGTACACTATAGAATATATTTGTGATTTACTTCACATCAAATATATATGCATATAGTTATATTAGTTTTTTTTTTTTTATTGAAGCCAAAAATAAAATTTGAAAACAATATTGTACGGATTGTTTTAATTGCATTTTGATTTTAGTTCAAAATAAGAAATTTAAAATAACTCGTTTGAAAATCGCTATAGTTAGCATGTCTTTAAACGCTTTTTCCTCTTTTACATGCTTTTTTCATTAAAATTATCCTTTAAGTACACTTACTTATTAATTATGTTTTCTGCGGTTCATTGCAAGAGTTACATGGTAGGCTTATTGTAATGTCACGTAATATAATTGGTATTTGTAATCTATATAAATAATATGTATAGGGATTATCATCTACAGCTGCGTTGGGAGCAAAGCCTTTTTTATGGCGAAAGCAATTTGGCAGCGGGGATAACAAGTCTGAGGTGGACGTCTACAGGTAGATTCGTCGCAGGTCTTTCGGCGTTGTGATCGAATTGCACTGCGGACACAGCTTTCGCGCACCGAGAGTCTGAAGCCAGCACTGCTCGCAGTGGACGTGCCAGCAGGAAACGGAGATGGCGGGATTCTTGTAGTCGTCGATGCAGATCAGGCACTTGTACTTGCCCTGCGCCTGCTTCTCGTAGAGCCGCAGCTTGGCCTTCAGCGATTCGATGATTTGCTGCTGGTTCTGGGAGGTGGAACGCGTAGACCGCGACGTAGATGGCTCCTCGCTGCCAGGTGAAGCCTCCACGTTGCTGGTAGTGGCAGTCTCTTGCTCGATGGCTTCGCTGGAATGGTTGGGCTTGGGCCCATCGCTGGAGGAGATAAGTCGGCGCACATAGCTGGTAACATCCGCCTCGGATACATTTCCCTCCGTGTCTTCGTTGACCAATGGGATCACATCGCCCTCGCCATACTGCGTAGGACCGTATATGTGTGTATCATCCTCGTCCACGTTGAGATCCTCGTCCTCGTCGTCCTGCGCCTGCTGGCTGCCATTGTATTTGATAGTCTGGCCAAGGCCCAAGGCGGAATAGCCACCCTGCACGAGTGTGGATACGCGAATGCGCTTCTGTCCCGCCCACTCGTACTCTTCGTATTCTTCGCTGTCCTCCGAGTCCTCACTCGAATGCCGTTCCCCATTGGCCTGACCATTTCGGCGGCTCTGGCGCAGGCACTGATTTACATGCTCTTGGATATTGGACTGCGGAAAGTTGTGGTTGCACACGGGACAGGTGGGTTGGCTCGATTCGGCAGCAGCTACGGACGGTGTTGCTGCTGCTGGAAGCGGAGGAGCTGCTGCCGTAGGATTTGCAGTTGCTGATGGAGCAGGAGAAGCCGGACGCTTCCTGGTGCGCTGGCGCTGACGGGCCTGCCGATTGCGCTGCACCCGCTGGAACACGCTCCACGGTTGTCTGCCTCCCGATCCCGAACCGGAGTTTTCGGACGCGGATGGTCCGCTTGCTCCGACAGCTGTGGCCGGTGGATTGACAGCGCTAATGGGGGGATTGTGCAATCGCTCCATCTCCACTTGGCAGTGATCGGCCACCTGACTGCGCTTGATCTTTACGTCGCATGTGGGACAGATCACGTCGTCGTCGCTGTTGTTGGTTAAGTGCTGGGCGAAGTTCTCGCCGTTGGACACCGTGTCCGTGGCCATAGATTCACTGGGTCCACCGCGGACTCTTTAGGATGAAAACGAAATTAAGAGATTCTATAGTCGAATTTTGTTTTGTTCGATAATCTGTCCAAGCCACGCGACGCCGATTTCTTACGCACAGTGTCAAACGGGCACATTGTTTTCCAGTATTTATTGTCCCGCTTAAAATGGTAATTGGTTTTGGCCCCCACCGATATACATCGAGTGCTTTGTAAAACCGTTAAAAAAGCGCCACATGATTAGTTATTAAATGCTTGAGGAATAAATGAACTTTTTTTAATGAAAAAAATAAAACTTTGAAATAATTAATTATTTTTTTACTTGCGTGTTAAGTTCAGCAGTAGGAATACTTCTGACTTCCGACTTGGCATCTCAACTTCCCATTTGCGCTCAAGTTGTGAAATCAAGTAATTGAAAACACTGATATCATATTATATTTTTCTATTACGGTTCGTCATTTTAAATACAAGAAGATGTACATATGTATGTACATAGATAATAATCAGATAGCGGTGTTTACATGCTCCACATAGCTTTTGAGGGTGCAACAGATAGTGTCGCTCCCTCTGTTAGGAAATTTCTACAAATCCTCGCCTTCGATTTGATACAAATTAACACCTCGGCAATCTGTCTATCTATCTAAGAAAGCAAAGTCTTATAAATTTACATAATTATTTGTATTAAAACTTATGTCAACGGTAAAAGTGAATTAACCGATAGTTTCAAGGCACTTATCGCTATCGAAAATGCCAAGCCAAATCGATGGTATCGAGAATACATCGATTTTAGTTCCAGCTCTATGAGGGAAGCAAAACATTATTATTTTCGTCGTTTTTATTTTTTGATTATATAGAAAAGTCAGTGGTCGAGGAACATGTGAAAGTGGGAAAGTGACAGAGCTTTTCAAGCAGAGTGTAAGTGCACACAGGTTGAACCAAAAAGCGACGCATATTTTTGCGAAAGTGCAAAGCAGACGGCGAGAGTGTGAAAAGGCAGCGAAAAGAGAATAGAGAAAAAATATAGCAGCCAGTTTCTAGTGAGCGTTAGTTTGTGTGCGTGTGCCATATTGTTTAATAAGGAAAATATACTAAAACAAACGCAGAAACAGCAACAACAATGCATTACCAGCAGCAGCAGCAACATCAACAACCACAGCAGCAGGGTAGCCTTGTTGGCTACAACAACAAAATGAACGTCTTGCCCAATTACACGCTCAGCGGAATGAGCTCCTTTGATGCCGAATCGCTGCCAGATTATTCAGAATTTGATTCCGAATCGGTGACCCTGGACTATTATAAGGAAAGGTATATTCCTGAACCTAAACAGATCGCATTTTGTTTTGCTTCCGTTCTTTCGCATAGCCACACACACATATATATTGAAGCATATGTACATACATACGTGTATAGAAATACCCTCGCCCTTGTCATTGTTGTTGTTTTGCATTTGGCCATTTGCCCCAATTTTGCCTGCCGTTACCGTTACGTTCTATATAGCGATTAACCGTTATGATCCTGTTGCCATGCCACTCACCCACACACACACACACACAACCACACACACACAAAGTCAGTACTCGCTCATCTGCGAAATTCGTTTTTGTTTTTATTCAACATTTCTAGCCGCTATATGTAAAACTATATTTATCCCCGTCTGGCCCGTCGAAATATCTCGAGATTCGTTAGACGCAACATCTACTCACACAAATCTTTGCATCTTTGTTTGCGTGTCTGTATCTTGAAGATATTAAAATTGGCAAGGAATCGTGTGAATTGTGTATATGATGTTTTGTTTAGCCGAATTTTATATACGCTTGCATTTTTAGACAAAGTTCATTCAACATTATACATTTTTGACAAAATAATTTCCTTAAAAGATGGACTTGCTCTGAAAACAAAAGATTACTAGTAAGGTAGACCTATTTTATATATTCTGAAAAAAATGTCAAAAAATTATCAGAGACATTAAAACCTATCAAGATTCTGACCCATATTTATAACATATGTATATAAATAGTCGCAAACATTTGACCAATACTATTGTATCCTCAGATAGGGTATAGCAATGGAATGCGAGTAGATAATTAGCTTGGCGGTATTTCCAGCATTGCAAATGCTTAGTTGCAGTCGCCTTGCAGCATAATTTATGTGGGGGCTGCACCTCATCACCCCAGCTTCCGTCTTTTGTCATTGGGTCTGTACTCCCCCCAATGAAGACTGAAATATTCCGCCGCGTTTTTGTCTGGCATAATAGAGCGATTTCAATTTAAACAATCCCAAACTCATTCAACTGTGGCAACGCATTGTTTTGTAAATTGCGTCAGTTAATCCCTGGCATACATACTACATTGCTGTCTACAATTGTGGTCAAAATAGTATAGCTTACTCTGCTGTGTTGTAGAGACCTCTCAACCAAACTCTGATCGTATTTGTCACTTATCAATGTTATTATGTGAATCTAAACAATATAGAGGTAAAATCATTAAAAATGGTAATAGAATAGTAGCAGTATTAAACGTAAAACTTTGAGCACTACTGTAGGTTTAATTGTCTAGTTGATGCAGTTCGATTGGAATGAACCCCTAATAGTTTGCCATTGTCTTTGTCGATGTTGTTGCTCGAGTTGTTTTTGCATGTTGCTGCTGCTTACTTAACTGCTTTGATGTAAACAAACATGTTGTACGAACAATGTGCGCCAGTCGCTCTAATCGAATGTCACCAATTTCTCTGTTTCCCGTCCTGCTAACAAACAAATCCCTCCCATTTGACCATACAGATGTTGAACGGGCTGCTTCCGCCAGCAATTTGAAATTGAAAACGCATTGGATAAACCTCAGCGCGCAAACCAAAAGCAATAAAACGCCAATTGAAGCATTTATATTAGATTGTTATAGCCAACCGGAGTAGCATTTACTTGCCTGCCCCTACAAACGAAAAAAAAAAAAAGAAACCCTTCCAACATCCCACTAAGCAAAACTAACCAAGAAACGCATTGAAACGCATTCCAATTAGTAGCTGCGGGCAGCACTTTGCCTGCATATAGTCGATAAGGTGAGTTTGGCTTGGCCGATAAGGCAGTTAAAACACTACTCCCACGCAATTAATATTAATTATCATGCACGCAGTGTTCTACGTCCACCAGCGGAGAAAATGGCGCCGACCACGACGATTGAGACCATCACAATCACGAGGCCGCTTAAGGTATGCATTTGGTCTGAAGTTTCAGAAACTTACAGATTGGCCAACTGATTTCTCTGCCTTCACAGGTGATTGCATTTATCTGCGGCGTCATCGTGGTGGCCCTGATGATTATGGCCCTGGCGTCCACAGATTGGTTAATGGCCTCGGACTGGCGGCAAGGTCTCTTTGTGCACTGCATTGAGGACGATTCGTTGTCGCCACTGCCATTCAACATCCAGGACCCGCCAGGATGCTATTGGACCCGCGATGTTGGTATGTATTACATGAAGTAACAGCAATCTTAAGCAAGAACTTAACGTACAATTTGTATAATTTAAGGCTACATTAAGGCCACAGCCGCTCTCTGCATTATCACGCTGATAACGGATGTCATTGCCACAGTACTGACAGGTCTGGGCCTCCGGACGCAGAACCATAATCTAAAGTATAAGTTCTACCGCATAGCTGTATTGGTGATGCTTGTATCCTGTGAGTAACTAACTAGGTTTATGAAAGAATCACATGCTAAATGTTACTTTTTCGCAGTGCTGGCCGTTTTGTCCGCCTTGATCGTATATCCAGTATGCTTTGCCGGCGAACTAACCATGGGTATGGAAACTAGAAATCTTAAGCTTAACTCCCCACTGACTAATATTCTAATTCGTGTAATAGCCAATCGACGAGTCTGGGAATTCGGCTGGGCCTACGGCGTTGGCTGGGGCGCGGCCATCTTTCTGTTTGGAGCCGTGGTCCTGCTGCTGTGCGACAAGGAGTCGGAGGAGATCTACTATAAGGAAAGGAAAATCGTACATGAAAACCAAATGCGCGCCTAGGCAAGGCCGCACGACCTGCCTGACGTCGTTCTGTAGAATAAGTATATAGCAACCAACCAACAACACACACAGACACATAGATTTCGATTTAAATCAGACTCAAGAACAGAAGCAATTTGCAGCTAAGCGAATGTGTTACAATTATGATTGTGTATATCATGACCATTTCAAACCAAAAATCCGTAGCCATCAGCCATCCCACCCACCATCTTATAGTACTCGGCATTTGTTTAGATGACGTTTCCCCAATGAGTTCATATTGTGTTCGTTTCGAAAGGTAATCGTAGACAAGCCACAAACACACGACCCACATCTATCATGTAGTCAGTCACATGTATGTACGTCTAGGAATTCTGAAAGTTAATCGCATTAACCAAACCCCTATATACAATTGCATGCCCCATGAGTTCCACAGCATTGTAGGCAACTTTTAGAGCTGCTTTTCCGTAGAAAACTGAGAGCAGGTGCTAGTTGCAACTAGACCTCTTACAATATTGTACTCATACTCAGCTACATATACATAGCAATGTACTCCCCATGTATCTCAATCCTAATCGTGAGCAGAATCCAAATTAGAATTTGTATATGCATCTAATCGAGAAAACAGGTAACCACGACATATAAAGCTACAATGTCATCGTCATTATCAACGTTTCATGCCGATTACGCTTTCAAAACGTTTGTTTGTGCTCCATACATCCGTTTCGAATATAATTAATTATGTGTTTGTCCCAGTGTATCGTGCGACCAACACCAATTGTACTCGAATATGTGTTGCTCTTTTACCTTTTGTAAAATAGTTTTACCAAACAGTCTTGTACTCGAATGTCCCCGAGCCGTTCAGTTATTGTTTAAGCCGACTTTTAAGTGTAATCATTCGTTTGTAACCTCCTAATTTGTAATTATTTATTGATACCTGTGTTCTTACCACAACCTAAAACCTATCACACCCAAATGACAACAATAAAACGTTTTTGACACCTTTTGTTAACACTTTAAGACCATATTTTATTTACCTTGTTAAGCTTTTTTTTATACACCATAAGATTCTTTAAGTTGTAAAACCAGCATAAGGTATGAGTATTGGCGATATCGCAACAACTATAACTAAGCCATCCTTTTCTATAATTCATTGTTATCTCTGAAGTTCATTCTAAATTCGTCCATCACATCTCGCAATCAGAACATCCTTATGTTTCGTTCGTTTGTTTTTAATGAGAAGATTTTGATTCAACGCCGAAATGAAGTGAAGCAAATGCAACCAAAATTAATGCGACCTAAATTACAACAATACAAAGGGAATATATATGCTTGAACATCCATATATCCATATATATGAAGACATTGAACAAATCGTAGGCAGGAACGTGCGGTGAAAAAAAGACGAAACGAAAACAATTATAGCGAGTATTAAGACAACAATTATACCAAAACCAATTGAATTAATTAAACTATGCTTACATACACGCATGTTTATATATATAGTTATATATATAAGTTTAAAGTATGTAACAATTAAAACAAAAACAAAACCGAATAAGTAAGAAGGCAACCTATAACTAACGAAACAATTATACTCCAAAACAAAACTCTACGAAACGTTACAGTTTTCCATTGTGTAACCAAACGAATGAGCGAGGATCATTTTGTTTTAACAAGCAAGCAAAATATATATACAAACACATATGAATATATTTATTAAAACGTTTTAAAATTTAATTTTTTAAATTTACATTCGATAGGTAAAAACCAAAAACAAAACATCACCAGATTAGGTAACATTATCAAACGTATTGCTAGTGATCCATATACTGTAAAACATATGCCTAGATCATATTTTATAAATTCCCTATATGCATACCTAATACCTAAACCTATACCCGCATCTAACGAAAATAACAAACTATGTATTTCCGCAAATTATTCTGCAGTTCACTGGAATGTAACCTTGAATTGAATATTTGGCGCTCCACACCCCAAAAAGCATCTAACCCACATCCCACACAACCAACCAATCCGCATAATGCGTACACTATCCCGTACAATGTAAATATTTCAGGAGAGTTTTCAAGAAAATAAAATAGTGTTTAACGTTCACAACGATATCTGTTATTAATATGGAATGCGTGAAGTGGTGAAGAACTAATGTTCTATGAGTAAAAATCCAGTGGTCCAATGGGTCCCGCCTCACTTACGATTTTCCCCATGATTTGGGAAATCAGTTCCATAGAGAATCTTCTGTTGGGATCTGGGTCCCAACAAGCACTTAAAATACTAATAGTGTCCTCGGGGCAGCCTGCCATAATATCACCTAAGTCCGGCCTTTCATCTGAAATTTAAGATCCTTACAAAAGATCCTTATAATATCGAGTAAATGTCTTGCCTCCATTAATAGCCATGTACAGTTCGAAAAGGGTATCATAATGGCCAAATGGCACTTTGCGCGACAGTATTTCCCAAAAAGTAATTGCCCAACTGTGCACATCACACTTTTCATTGAATTGACTTGCTTGTAGAACCTGATTATAAGCTGATTATTAGATAAGATTTCAGTTCAAGCGATTTCTTACCTCGGGAGACTTGTATCTGCAGGTCCCCGCATTACACGACATCGATAGGGATAGGTCCACAACAGTTCCAAAGTCGCAGATCTTCAGCTTGAGTCCCTTCTGACATAGCAGTGTATTAAGTGGCTTTATATCGCGATGAATGACTGCTTTCGGCTGCATGCCATGGAGATAGGCTAAGCCCTGTAAGGCATTCTCAATATTCATTCGGCACAATAACTTCGCTCGACGGCGGACGTCTTACATACCAGAGCGATCTGATGCGCCCAGTTGAAGGCGTGGCCATGGGAGTAACTTGGCTTGCTTTCCGCATGCAGCAAACTGGACAGAGATCCACCATCAACGTACTCCATCAGGAGCAGAGTGCAGCCCTCATGCCTGGATGTTCCGTAGAGCTGAACTATATTCACATGGTTGGCTTTTGCGAGCTGGTAGATCTCCCTTGCAATCTTTTTGTCTTCACATCCCTCTCGAATTCTCTTTACTGCGATCTCGCGATTTCTCCAGTCGGCCTTGTGTACGCTCCCAAAAAAGCCTGTACCTATAAGCTGCAATGCAATCTCACTTTATAATTAATGCCATCTTATCGGCGTGGCCATCACCTCTTTTGTCACTATCTCTTCATAGGGAACACCCTCTACTGCAGCGGCCATAGCTTATCAAATGCCCAAATCCGACTGAGTTTAGATCGCGAAAAATTTTGCACATATCTTTGACTTTTATTTGACGACGGATTTCAGCGGATACGACTTCTTATCTTATCAACAACGATTACCTCTGAGATAATGTTTTGTCGAAAAAAACAGGAATAGTATTCTGCACATTATGCAAAAAGTTGAATTACAATTTCATCCACAGTTATCGAGGAGATTGCATATTTATATTAGTACATTTTTTACATTCATCGTGTTCGAAGCTGTGCTAAAATAAAAATACTGTGTATAAAAAATACCCACGCTAAAAACAAATATTAATTACTCCGCTCACAGATCGTGTTCCACTTTGCACGGTACCTTAAAAGTTTTGTAATTTTATTAATTGCTTATGCAAAAAGTTTCATTACAATTTGATCCACTGTTTTCGAGGAGGTTGCATATTTATGTTTCTACACGTAGCGCAGATATTTTCAATTTTTAAAATTCCATTATATCGATATTTCGATAGGAGTGTAACGTGCAACATTTTTTGCTCAAATTAGACTAGTGTCATTGGTTATTCCGACATAGACAATATATTTAAGATTTGTACAATTAATGTTCTTAAGCCTAAAGAAATGATCATTAAATCTAATGAAACACGATTGCAGCGATGACTTCTTAGTCTTTTTTGGCTATCAAGCCCTGCTTTTTGAGCTGGCGCAGAGCGCATTTGGCCGCCGTGCACTTGGCAATGCGATAGTTGCGCCCGATGCCACGGAAGGTTCCTTTGCAGAAGACATCCACGGTAACGCGCACCCGTCGCCCATCCGCCAGCTTCTCGGGCTTGCCGAATTTGGCTGTTTCCGGCTCCAGCTCGAGCAGCTCCCGAATGGGCGATTTTGGCACTGAGTTGCTGAACTGTTCGATCTCCGGGCTCATCATGTTGCTGTATACGTGCCACACCACGTCCAGTGACATGTTTGAGTCCAGGAAGATGGCGCCTGCGATCGACTCAAAAACGTCGCCCAATGCCTTGGGAACCTCAACGTCCTCCGCGTCATCGCACTCCTCCTCGGACAATAAGTAGTACTGAAACAAAGTAGAGTAGTACAATTAGATGTAGCATTATTAGTGACTTTCCTTTCACCCACCTCCTCACTGATGCTATGACCATTCTCCTGCTGGATCCTCACGAAACGGTCAATCACATCGTTAAGACCCGGCGATAGGTGCCTGAAGAACTTGTGGAAGCCATGGCGAACAGCCAGAGAGGCGAATATGGTGTTATTCACCAGTGCCGACCGCAAATCCGTTAAAGCGCCCGGAGAATGCTGGCGGGGATCTTCGTATAAATGCCGCGTAATTAGGTAATCTAGTACAGCATCGCCCAGGAACTCCAAGCGCTGGTAGCAATCCGTCAATCGATTGGGTGTGTAGCTGGCATGTGTCATGGCTTGCAGAAGGTACGAACGATCCCGGAACTTGTATCCCAAACTCTCCTCGAACACCTCAAAACCACTTAGTAAATGGTCCAGCTCCTCCGTAGCGTTGGGAGCAAAGTGCAACAGTGGACTACGCGGTGTGGGCCATGCTCCGTAAACGGTAACCATCTTTTCGACGTTTGGTTTGGTGCTTCCGGGTATTCGGTGCTCCTGGTTAGCCCCCTCCAGCTGCCTGGTGATAGGGAGCACTCTTACTCCCAGCCAGGCCATAAAGAGTAGGGCCCCTCGGGGCCCGCACTCAATGAGATAGGCTCCTATGAGGGCTTCGACGCAATCGGCAATGGACTTATCGGGAATGCTGTGCTGGGAAACAAGGTTATAGGGAATAAAACAGCTAAAATCATTGCAGCTGTCGTTGGAGTCGTCAAGTTGCCCGTTTTGGGCACCTCCATTCTGCTCCAAGCCCAGGGCTTCGGCTTTTTCGCGGACCATCTCGCAGATTTGCACGCTGCTGAGGTTCTTGATGTCTAGCAAATCAGCAAGCTTCCAATGGTGAGTGGGGATCTTCGCCTCGATGAGCGCCTTTTCCAGCTCCTTTGGCACGTAGTAGCAGGGTGGCAGCCAGTTGTCGTGGGGCTCGAATTTAGTGGCTATCATATATTCACCAAGCCTCTTGCGTCTGCCCAGACGATAGAGATTAAGATTGGCAACCTGCTTGGAGCGCAGGTGACTTAGCTTTCCCTCGTGCACGTTCTCGTAGGTGATGTACAAGTAGGTGGTAATGGCATACTTCAGAAAGGAATCTCCAATTGTCTCCAGTCGCTCTAGATTGATGCCATCGTTAGCATTGGACATTGTGAGGGCTTGCAAAATGATGCTGGGACTGGGTCCTGGATGACCCACCAAATCCGGTTGTCGATCGAAACTGAAGCCAGCTGGTAATATTGCTGATGATATGGCCTTCTTGGCAGTAGGTGGCTCAATTTCCATTCGATCATATTGCAGTTTCAGTTGCTTGTCATGCAAGTTCAGCCGATGATGATCGTTGTAGTTGTCAAAACTATCTCCGCATCCCATTACGTTATAGGTCTCCTGCTCATGCCGAGCTACCCAATCCGCATTCAGCTCTACTAAATCCGACAGCAGAAGCTCCCGCCTATCACCCAGCTTTTCGGCCAGCACATTCTCATTTACATACGGCAGCAGCTGTTTCAACAGCTCCATCATCGAATCCTTTGCAACCTGAGCCTCAGCGGCATCACTTCTTTTTAGCATCAACTGCTGGTCATGCGGCACCAACATCCCGCAGGATTCAATTTCCGTTTTAAGCTTAGCTATGGATTCTTCATATCTAATGGTGGGATGTTCTTTCTGCTCCTGATCCCCATGATTAAAATTAAATCCAATGAGCAGGTTCTTGGTCTGCTGGTATTGCCGCTCGTTGGCATTGGTTGCCTGGATGATGGACAGCTGCTTCTGGCGCTTCTCCACTTCCTGGGCGGTTTCGATAGTCTCCGCCTCGTTCTTGGAGGTGAACGCAATACGCCCCGTATCGATATCATCTGCCACATCGTCGTCATCCGAACTGTAGTTGTGATGCATGTAATTGAGCGGTCCCACGTTATCGTCTTCGTCGTAGCTGGAGCCCAGCGAATTGTCCGAGTCATAATAGTTAAATGTGGGCTTTGCCGGACCCTTTCCTTTGCTCTTGGCGCCCTGCTTATTCTGACTGTTCTTCGGAGCCTTGAAGCCGCCTTCTCCATTGCTCACATCCCAGAATGTGGGCGAGCCATAGCGGGTTTGCTGATCACCTGTAATATGTATTAGGCATTATTTCTGATCCTAAGCAAAGGAATTAAATAACTTACAGAACTTAACGTTTGCCGGCAGAACTGGAAGATGGAAAGCATCTTCATCATCGTCGTCTTCTTGATTAAAGCTCGCTATATCGTCGGCCATGTCGTTTGACCAAGTGCCGATCTCAATGAAGTCATCGGCCTCTTGCAGCTTTTCTTCTCCCTCAATGATTAGTTCGATTGCACTTTTCTCAACTTTATCGGCTTTGGAATCCTTGTCTAGTTGGGTCTCCTTACTTATCGGCTCCTTCTCAACTTCAACTAAGTCCTTGCCATTAATAGTATCACCCTTAAGGGATTCCTTTTGCTTGGACTCCCGCGATTTCTTTAGCACCTCTGATAGACTCCATCCAAAGTCTAGCATGGGCCACTCGAAATCCTCATCTTCGATCTGTTGCCTTCCTAGCCCCAGATCCGCAGAGACCTGTTTCCGAATATCGTCGGCCAACAGAAGACCATTAATGCGGTATAGGATGCAGGGCAGACACACGGCGGTTCGCCACAAGGAGGCGGGGAATGGATGCACAGTGCAGAGCTCTGGCACAAGGATCTGCTTCTGCTCGAGATTCTCGCGCTTTGCCCGCTTTGTCTCCTCCGAACTAGTGGGTAGAGCAACGCCCTTGCGATTAACATATCGTGGCGTGAGGAAGTTTAACCGAGCACTGGTGTGATCTACATCCAATAGCGGCTGCGAGGCGTTCTGAATGGTCAGACCATACTTGACGAGGTAGTAGTGCTTGAACGTGCGGTAGTTGTCACCAGGGAAGCAGCTGAGTGGGGATAGATGTGGACATATCTCTGCCACATAGAAATACTGCGGTTGATCCTGGTTGCGATACCACGGCATCACGACGGCATCTTGAAAGCGTTGGGCATCGAACGGCTGCGCCTGGCGCTCCTCATCGGGCACTGCCCGAGGCATTGTATTTCCGTTGGCTTGGATCAGCTCTAGGAACTGCCAGTCGATGTGCTTGCCGCCTGCTGGTGCTTTCACGGTGGGCACAATAAAAACACAATTCTCCGTGGAGTCTGGATCGAAGAGCATGAGAAACTTTTGCAGACGCAGTACATTGGTGAAGGTGTAGTTTAAAAATCCGTTGATGCAGACTATTTGTTCGCTAGTTAGTATCACGCGCTCCTTAGCCAATTCCAGCGAAACCTTCACCTCACCGGAACGCGTGAATATCGAGAAAGCACTCAGCTTGGGTATCCGTTTCGTGGTGAGAATGCCAAATCCCTGCTGGGCATCTTCGGGCGGATAAATCTTACGGCCCCGCGTGTTTTGCTCTTCGGGAATGGGACATTGTAGCGTCAGCTGGATGAAGTACAAATAGCATGGTGCCCCAGCAACTGGACGGCAATCGCAAAATTCGGATGCAATGCGTTTGTAATAGTACTGACGCCGCTTTGTTGTTCCCGGACGAGGTTCATCGCTTAGCTGCACAATCTGTTCGTCCTCTGGCTCCAGTTCAAAGCACTCCCAGTCCGGTTCCAGGGCGCGAAATCCCTCCTTGCCGATAGGCTGCAACTGATCGTCTAACTCACCGATCCTGTGCAGTTCAACGCATGCCTGCAAGGCAGCCAGTCGACGGGCCAGTGTTTGAGTGGGCATCGGAAGACCCTAAAAACAAAAGAGATAGTAGGAAATCTGAAATAGTTTGTATTAAAGGCACTTACCACAATGTCATGCTTCAATGGCGAGTTGATGGGCAGCCGGAGTGTGTACTGAAACATAGTCACGCCAGCCCTTTCGTTTCGGGTGCAGCGCCACAGAGCCGTCAACTTGGTGAACGTGTCGCTAGGCAGTCGAGCGCAGTACTTGTTGACCAGGGCAATAGCAGTACCCAGATCCACGGAGGCTCCTGTTAGGAGGTGCGGCTTGGGGCGGTAGGCGGCCAGACAGGCACTGAAACGTTCCGCCTCGCTCTGCTCCTGCTCCGGCGGCTCTGTGTTGGCGCACTTGGATAGCAGCATCTGCTCGATCTCGCGATATTGAGCCATTTGGTGCACCAACTCCTTGGTAGTGCTGGTTAAACGATCAACAGATTCGATGTCGGCTGTGGAATCACTGGTGTCTTCTGACTCCGTTAAAGAGGACAGTTCGCACTGGAAGCGCCTGGACTTTTGTTCTGTACTGCTCTCGCTTGGAGACGTGTTACTCATGCTGACGGCCTCGTCGCTGGAGTTGCTAGTGTCTAGCAGAGCTATGGCTGGCGATTCGTCCTGGATCTCCTGTAGCTTAATGTCGCACGCTGTCGGAGGTTGTTTACTGAACACTTCGGGATTGAGGATCTTGACGGTTCCGCGTGCCGTGCCAAAAGTATATGGATCCGAACCGGACGAGTTTGGCATTGCTGAGTCGTCAGAGTCACTTTCCGCCTCTGTAGTATCACCAGTCCCGCAAATAAACCGATGACTCCGATCGGTCAGCTGCACTGCACCCACAGTTGGGCTTTTATAAGTAGGCGCCACCAGGATGACATGGTAGGCAGGAGCTGCACGGGCTCGACCTTTGCACTGAACATAACTGCGATATGTGGTGGGGGGATCCCAGCGCACAACCAAATTGCACTTGGGCACATCAATACCTTCTTCCAGCACAGAAGTGCCGATCAGGACATTGCAGTCGTGCATGCGGAAGCGCTTAAGCACCTCTTCCTGCCGCCGGTGCTCCAACTCAGCCTCTTTAGGCTCTGTGGTGGGATCTGCCACCCGGTCCGTGGTGTACTGGCAGCGTAGGAACTTGAGATCGGGATCACGCCTGCTAATCTCCGCCAGCAGCTCAAAGAGAACGCGTGCCGTGTGGTTCTGGTTGCAGTAAATCAGCGCGCAGAGCGTGTCACTGCCATCATTTTGATCCCGGTGGTGGCGTCTGGTGTACACTCGTCTACGAGTTCGTGGTTGTGCTGTGTTGGTGCCAGAGCTAGGTTTCGGCTTTGCCGGAACAGGAATAGGAGCCATTCGAGCGGCGCTTCTAACCGTTTGCCTGTCCTCTGTCGTGTGCAGAATCTGCTCAAGATTGGCCACCAGGGCTCGTGTTTCCGTTGGCGGTTGGTCAAATTGATCCACCATTCGGCACCTGCTTTCCAGCGCATGAGATAACCGGTTGAAGTCCGCCTGATCCACCTGATGCCGCATCCTGCGCAGTCCGTCCGCTTGGGTCTGCACCTCTTCCGGCTTAAAGCACCTTAGTGTCTGCAACAGACGTCGCACCTTCGGGCTGGAATAGCGTTCGATGGTTTGGCGTGAGTCGCTGCCACTTCCCGGCTGGCGCTGGAATGCGTGATCGCAGAGAGAGTGCAGTTGGATGAGGGCCGTGCTCACTAGGCAGTACAGCAAGTAGTGACGTTCGTGCGGCGTCTTCACCTTTAACTTCTCATTGCTTTGGTAAAAGTGATGGGCAGCTCGCTGCGTGCACCAAGGACCCATCTCGTGCAGCACGGCCAGTAGCGAGTTGATGACGTTCAGGGGGTCCACCTTGGGATCGGGTATATCTGGAATTCGTAAGCAACTTATTAGGCTAACGATTTTACTTGGTCTTAAAGAAGTCACCTTTCAGTTCGTCCATAAACTGGTCTGTGCCGTAGATCTCGTAGGGATCGTAGCGGTGATCCAATAAAAAGGACTTGTGTGTGTTGAGCACATCGGCAAGCACCAGGGACAGTTCGTCCATCTCGAAGGGGGCGCACTGTACGATGTATTCGTGCGGTCGGGAACAGTAACGCAACACGGTGACAATATCACTGGCCGTCTCGATCCGGCAAAGCACACTCTGCTCCAGGGTAGCCAGCATGGCGCTCAGTTGCTGCAGCTCACATCCAGCGCTGTGTAGCGGTCCAGCAAGTCCGAGAATTCGCGGTCTGTCCACCGGTGCTGCTGGCATGATATGCTCCTCAAAGAGACGCCTTATCCTCTGATAAACGGCACTGTCGTGACAATCCTCCAACACAATCAGTTCGACACTGCTCAGCAGCAGCTCGCGATCTTCAAGCAGCGAAAGAAATCCCTCTGGCCGCAGGATGGAAACGTGGTAGTCCGTCCAGCAATGATCAAAGGGTATCTGCATGTCTGGCTGCTCCTGCCACACCCGCAGGTCGGTCAAGTGGGTGAGCATCGTGTAGATGGAGCATGGTTCTGTGCTAGTGCCCACCTCGCAACTGAGATAGACACTGACGCGACCACGTTGGCGTCCGCGACGCGACAGCTCCTGGAGCAGCTTTAGGGCTATGAACTCCTTGGAACTCCGATGGCCCAGACAGATAATCGTGTTCCGCTCGTAGGCGGCGGCCAGCAGCTCCACCTGGAAGTCGCGCGGCGTGAACACCGTGGTGTGCAGGTTGTTGTCACACCAGTGGAACGCCATCGTGGCTAGGGGGATGCACAAAAACACCAATGTCTCTGCGAGATTTCCACTGAAAATCGTCCAGAGCCGGCTACCATCAGCGTGCCAGTGTGACCGTTGGCTCGGCTAGCGAGAAGGGTTCCAAATACCCTTCGCAGTTCATTACTTTGGCCACACTTCTAAGTGGCTTGAAAACAAATTGCGCCTTCTCATTTTTATTATGTTCATTTACATACTATGCATTTAGCAGAATCGGGCACAATAACTTATATCTAGTGCCCAGCCCAGCTAGTAATTTTCATCTCCAATGCGGCGTTCCAAGGCTCCTTCCATGCGCCGCGCAGCAAAGCGCGAGAATGAAGATCCGCATCCAAAAGTGGAACCACAGTCACCCTGCTCCTGGCCCAACAGCACTCTACCCAGCGAATGGGGCACCTCAGGGGGCTCCCAAAGCCTGGGACCCCGAGCACTCAAGGCAGGCGAGAATCCCCTCAAAGACAGCCGCATCTTCCACGTGCTCTGGCGCAATCAGACCACCAAAAAGCACAAGACGTGGACTGGCAACGGAACCCTGGTGGTCACCGGATCCGTAGTAACGTTAAAGGATGACACTGGCAAGGTGGTGGACACCATGACATGCTTTAGGCAGCGGGAACTCAGGGAAAACGATCAGCTGGAAGTGGGCAGCAGGGATGTGGAGGTTCAGGAGGAAATTAAAACTGTGGAGGAGTGCTTTACGCAGCGCCAGTTGGAAATAGACAATTGGTGCCAGAAAATAGATGCCCAGAATGGTTATGCAGACACCTCTTCACCACTTCTTATAGCCAGGGCTCCCTTCAAGAAGATCAAGAGCGAGGCGGATGCACTGACTCCATCGCATATGGAGATCGTCCAACATAAAATGAAACATGTTTCTTATGAAGCCCCCACTTCCGGCACTTCGCATGTGTTGGAGAAGAAAATGTGTGAACAAAATTCTTTAAAGAAAGATAATCCCCCCATGGAATTCACTCAATCGGAATTTCTGTGTCTACTAGCTCCAGCTGAACTACAGAAAAGAATACTAATTTTTCTTTCAGACTATGCGGAAACTTCCAAAGTGGTAAGAAGGATGCAATCCGTTTATGTACATCCACATCAAAATCAGATATGTATTTTAGAAATCGCCATTGTTGAAGGAAGTGGTGCGAACTGTTTGCGACCATCCTGTGCTCCTAAAGACTTTGGTCAATAAAACAGAGTTGCAGGAACTAATGGAGGTACTGGACACCATACTACCGCCCTGGCCAGACATGGGACTGTACGATTCCGCCAAGTTTGAGTTTCTACACGTAATGCTGGACAATTTAGTGGCAGAGCGAGGAGAGAAATGCTGCATTTTGGCAAACAGCGAGGATTGCCTTACCCTGGTTAGGGGCTACTGTCAGAGTTATAGTTTAGACCATGCGCAGCTAGATGGTCCCAAGAAGGTGGATTTATTTAATTCTCTTGCGGAAGGGGAACCCATGGTTGGCTTGATTCTGACCAGTGACTTGTCGCAGCTTCGAGCTCTCCGCTGCAAACATCTAATAATTTATAATCTCAATGCCAGGGAGCATGCCAATAAACTGCTGGCCGTTGGGGCAATGGACACGACAATATACACTCTCATCACAGCTGGAGGTTCCACGGAGGAGTTGCAGTTCTATAGTCAAATGGCCGGAAATACAGATGATGTGAGTACTTCGAATTATCTTACTAATAAACCACTAATTGCTTTTGTAACTCATAGAATTTGGCAGACTGGACCGCAATTGAGCCACCTTTTGACTGTGATTTCTTTGAGGTATGAGTTGCATTACAATTGTCCAACTTTATTCATGAAACTTTACGTGAATTTACAGGAAACTGCTATTTCGGATAGTCTGGATTGTATTCAGCGGGTTTATTCAAGAAAAATTAAGGTGAAAACTTGAACAACTAAATATAATAAAAATACTTGAACTCCAACGTTAGAATTATATTCATAGATAAGATACTTATACCTAGGAATTTAGTTACCCTGGAAGATTTGTCCACTCTTTGGCAATCATTAGTTTTTAGTATTTCGCGCAAGCTACCTTGTGAGAATTTAGTCTAAACTTACGAGCTCCTGCAGCTTTTCAATGCGAGTGGAATAGGTATCGTTCTCCTCACAGTAAATGATCTCGCTGCAATTAATGACGGTCCCAGTGGGATAATAATGTTCCAGCCATTTGATCTGCTCATCGGTGGGCTGCTCAGGCACACCTACGAAAAGCCAGTTATAGAAACAATATCATTATCCTCAGAGAACCTACTTACCAATTAAATCCAGCTGTGTGGTCATTATAGGGAAGGCAAACTGCGGCGGATAGGGACGAATGTCGGTGACGTGGGTCGGCACTATGTTTCCGTAATCAATGAACAAAATGCTGGGATAACCGTCGCCTATTAATTCTACAGAGAGTCCCCGGCACCATTTACCTTCGTACTTAGCTATGCAAAGCTCATTTATCCTAAATGAAATGAGGTCGTTAGACAAATGGGCAAAAGAAAACGGCGAGTAACTTTACGGCGGTGCGTAGGTGGCGCACTTGGCGATCTTTTCGCCGTACTCCTGTATGTCGCGCTGCATTCTGGTAACTTCGTAAGCCAGATCTCTGGAGGTGCAGTAGACAAAGCCGCACTTCAGGAAAGTGTTGTCCATGACCACAACATCGATGTTCTTTCCAAAGCGCAAAGGAATATATGGGAGACACTAAAACCGACAAGGCGAATTACAAATGAAATTAGGATATTTGGCAATTGTTAATTTGCGGCTTACATCCTCTTTATATCCCAGATCCGATACAGACGGCTCCACAGGAGTAATTACGGTCTTGAAAAGGCGGTTGAGGCTTCTATTCAGGTCGATCTCGGTCATCACCACGATTTGCAAGCATTTGCTGAAGTCGTACTCGCGTTTCGAGTACTTAATATCGAAAACTAGGGACTGGTCCAGCTCGTACATGACTTCCCTAATGTTGGGACCCACAAAACGCCTAGGAACGCCGCGTAATTTGACGGCTACGGGGTAGCAGGGCAAACCAGCTAGATAGGAACTGCATTCATACAGATCTTCCAGCTGCGTCACTTCAACGCTTCCGAAGTCAATGCAGACCACATAGATATCCTTGGGATCATCCACGTTTAGCACCAAGGCGCGAGACATATGTCCCTCGAACTTGTAGAGCACAATTTGCCCGGAGTCTGGCCCATTCTGCAGCTTGGAGGCAGTTTTGCCCAGCATCATTACCTCCATGAGCACTGTGTAATAGGCGACATCAACCTGAATGTCGGCCGAGCGTACATAGACCACGTTAGTCTGCTCGAATGCAGTAATCCTTACTTTCGATCCGGACGGTGGCAAACCGGGTTTTGGGAACTTCCGGCCCACCTTTTCGTCCAGCTTGAGTATCTCGCCCTTGCCGCAAGCTTGCTTGTGCTGCTCTGCCACATCAGCGAAACAGGAGGCATCGCAAAAGGGCATTTTGCATAGCTTGCAGAAAGTGTCTGTCCAGTTTTGGCAGACCACGCACTTGCTGACGCCATCTCCCAGCAGGGTTTCCGTTTTGTCCTCTTCAGGTGGAGCAACGGTTGACCTAAGTGGTACAAACTATACGCGTTAGCTAATCAGGCGCAGGTTACCCTATGACCATACTAACACGGGAATGGTTCTACCGGAGCGAAAGTGCAAAGTAACCTGCGGGATTCTTTTCTCATCCTTTAGCTTGTAGACATCATGGCGCTCCAGGGCGAACTCATACTTGACATTGAGATAGCGTTGAGTTGCATCGTTGGTGGCCAACAACGAACCCCTTTGGTAATCAGCTTTGGTGACCAGCGGTGACTGCAAGAACTCCGGATGCAGTTGTCCACCGGTCGAGACGGGAACATCTCTGTTGCGATTCACTGGTGTACGTTCGGTGGGCGAAATTGCCGGACCTGGTTTTGGCATCAATTCCGTCAACGTCACCGGTTCGCTGTTGATTTCCCGATCTTTTTGCGGCCGACCAGTGACGCACTTGATCAGATTCGGATAACGCTCCACTCGCTGTCGCGCCGTCTCCAGGGATCTAGAAAAGGTTAATCTGCTCAATATATTTTATATATTGATCGTAAGTGCTTAAAACCTACCCGATATTTTCAAAGTAGACAAAGTATACGCGCGACATGCGGCGGAATTCCATCTCCTTGATGAGCGCCCGCCCAAAGAAGTTGATCAGCATCTTTTCGGTCACATAAGGACTACTTTTGGGCACCACCAAGTATGGATACTTCGCCTGCTTGGCGGCACGTTGCTCCTGTTCATCCTTGGGCGGCACAGGAGCTTCGTCGATCAGATTCTGGCCGGATTCGCTGGTGTACCGGTTGCCACCCTCGTCATAGTAGTCCTTGGCCATCGGATTAAAGGCACGCCACTCGTCCTCCGTAGAATCCATCGCACCTGAGCTTTGAAATTTCACCTGGTTTTAAATTGCAAGCGCGTGGATTGCAAGTGTGACCGCTTCGTATGTAGTGCTCTTATAACTGTTGTAAGAGTTAAGTTGGTAAAATTAAACAACCGGCAAACGGTCACACTAGCAAGTGGAAAACCGAAGCCAAGTTTATTGTAAACAATCTAATAAAAACGCAATCAAAATGGTTAAAAACGAGCCCAACTTCGTGGTGGAACGCATCATGGACAAGCGCATCACCAGCGACGGCAAGGTGGAGTACTACATCAAGTGGCGCGGCTACACCTCGGCGGACAACACCTGGGAGCCCGAGGAGAACTGCGACTGCCCGAATCTCATCCAGAAATTCGAGGAGTCGCGTGCCAAGTCAAAGAAGCGCGGCGAGAAGAAGCCCAAGTGCGAGGAGATCCAGAAGATGCGTGGCTACGAACGCGGCCTGGAGCTGGCCGAGATCGTGGGCGCCACGGATGTGACGGGCGACATCAAGTACCTGGTTCGCTGGCAATACTGCGACGAGTTCGACTTGGTGCCATCGGCTCAGATAGCGGAGAAGGATCCGCAAATGCTGATTGCATACTTCCAGAAAATGGCGCCCTACTCCCGGCACATTGCGAGCCGAATGAAGGGCGTGCCGGAGGAGCTGCGTTTGGCAGCATCGCGCACCAGTTATCCGCACATCAGCAGTGCTCCCGTCGACGTTCCGCCGGAGGTGGATCAGGCCGCTGAGTTGGCCGGACATCTCGGTGGTATGGCGCCCCAGGTGGACCAGGTGCCGCAGCACCATACGCCCATGGATCTCGCCGATGATCCCGACGATCTGGCCAGCGTTTCGTACTCGATTCCAGTGCCCGGCGTTGGCGACATTGCCATCGATGTGCCCATGGCGGAAACTCAATGATAACTCTAGCAGAATCGTCTGTTCAGTGTTTAATCTTAGCCCCTAAGTTAATGCGTATGTAAAGCTATCTCAACCCTCTGGGTTCGTCCAGATTTATGTGACCCAGCTGGCCGGAGCGAAAGAAGTGAATGAACTTTCGCGCGGCCGCCAATAAATTTGTCATCACCTCCACCCGTCCGTCGTATTGCTTGACCTTGTGGAACAGCTCCTCCCGATGAGCGTACTCCGCCAGCACGGCGCTAATGTTGTCACTGGGTCCGGAGCTGAGCTTCAGCTTCTCCACGTACTCGTATTTGCGGTGGCTGTTCAGCCAGTACAGCAGGTAGTCGGCTATCAGATCCTCGCCCACAATGTGATCGGGAAGGCAGCCCACGAGGGCCAGTTTCATGCCCATTTCATCATCTTTAATGGAGGGCTGGAGGATACCAGGTGTGTCGATCATGTAAACCGGCGGATTCTCTTGGATTTTGATGCGTTCGCCGACGGATCGCGTTATGCCCGCCTCGGCTCCCACACGTGCGGCGCTCCTCTTCTTGAGATGCACATTGCGCAGGACATTGATCACCGAACTCTTGCCCACATTGGGCACACCGATGATCATGAGATTGTGCTCGGCTGCTTGGGTGCGATTGAAGCGACTGCTCTCGCCCACGAGGCGAGTGGCCAAGGGCAGGATGTCCAGCACGCCGTGGTTGCGCTGATCCTTGCAGTTGGTGAACAGGATGTGCTGCAGTTCCGGCTGCTGCCTCCTCAGTTGCTGGAGCACGCTCCTTTGCTGTTTGGCGCCCAGAAGATCGACTTTGTTCAGCACCAGGATATGCGGCTTAACGCCACTTCCTACGGAATATATGCGTATTAAGTGGTAGCTTATGGTTGGAGACGTACCTACCGGTGATTGTGTCAAAGAACTGGGAGTTTCTGCCCGCCAATGGGATGCGTGCATCGTGAATCTCCACTATGCAGTCCACATTTCGCAGTTTCTGCTGGATTTGCCGCATACCCTTGGTCATGTGGCCGGGAAACCAGTTAATGCGCTGTTTGGCCGGCAGCCGGAAGGCATTGCGGAATGGATTCAGCTGAGCTGCCATGATGCGGAATCCATGTAATGCTATCGAAACCAAATCAAAACTTTTGATCAGCTGTTGGCCAGTGACGTAACAATTGACCAGGAGCTGTGCAAGGTGGTGTGGTCACACTAGTGAAGAGTATGTTGCATCAACCGGTGGGTGTGGCAGCACTGGCTGATTTAAATTTGAATTTCACAGATTTTAAAAGATATAAACACCTTATGTATTACAGAATATAAATTTTATGATAAAATAAAGTGAGCACAAGTTTATTTTACTATATAATATTACCTATACTTGGCTGGGTCATAATTTAAATCAAAGAGTATATACATTTTTTTCCAAATATATTGTGAACTTTGAGTCTTAAAACAAATGGCCTTGTATAAATGGCGTCTATAAAAATATTCGAGAAGTTCTTTGAATCTTGGAAATAAAAAATTCATGGAATGCGGACGAAGAGATTCATTTTGCGCTCAGCAACTTAATACAAAATGAGAAGTTGTTGATCCTAATACCATTTCAAATGCGATAGCTTCCCATCGCTACAGCTCATCCTTTTTGGGCCCGATGTAGATTAGTTGATCCTCCGGCTTCACCTCGTACTTCAGCAGCTTCACATATCGCTTGAGCAGCTTGCGCCAGTAGCACTTGATGTCCTTCATGCGCAGGTGCTCCCAGATGAAGTCGTATCCACGCTGGGCGATCTCTTGGGCCAGGGCATCGTTTTTCCTGAAGAAGGACAAGATATCCTCGTACTCCTGCTGACTGGGGTAGCTCTTGAGCGGCACATAATGCACCCAGGGCTTCAGTTGGTCGTAGAAGAACTCCTGCCACTCGTCGCCCACATGGAAGACCAGCGACTTGCAGAGGAACAAATGCTTCAGCCGGAAACTGGCGGCCACACCGCGGAAATTGAACAAGTACTTGTACTTGCAGTGGTCCTCGAAGGAGACCTCATCAGCGGCCGGTGCGTCCAGGGTATCCTTGGGCGACTTCCAGCCCTGGTTTTTGGTGTATTGAGCTTCGACTAGCTCCGGATTGCGGCGCGAGAGCAGGATCAGAGAATCACGTTCGTCGGAGGTGCGGGAACCGCGAAAGAAGCCCAGATTGCGTTTCTGCGACCAGGGAATAGCTGCCGCCCGCTTCTCCAGCTTCTCGCGCATCTGATCCCAGCGTCCAATGCCACGCGGATGCAGCTTGGTGGCCGGTCCACCGGCCCAGAATGTCCACGCTGGATACATGATGTCGCGGTACTCCTTGGTCTTGGAGAACGAGAACACCGGGCCACCTGCCGCGTTTCCCCAGGCCGCATTCAGCTGCGGATAGTCCCTGGTGTTAATGACCAGGTCCATGTCGGGCAGCGTCGTCACCAGCGGCAGCAGGAAGTGCTCGATGCCCTCGCAGCGGGCTGGGAACATGCAGTTGGCATCCCGGTACAAGCGATGTCCGTAGATCTTGTATTTGGTGCCGTATCGCGCGGAACTCTCGATCATCTGCCGGGTGACACCTGTTGACTTGTATGGCGCGAGATCCCGCTTCAAGACAGCCGCGTGGCAGGAGCAGTCGCTGTCCTTGGGATCACTGCTGCAGGGCTTGTAGTCGGCGTTAGCCTTCTCGATCTGGCGACGTATCCTGAAGCTAACTAAATTAAGGGGAGTAGTTAAAATCGAATATAATCAACGCCGGCAACGAGTTGCTTACATTCGTCCTCGTTTATTTGGTCTGGCTCACTTTGTCCGCAGGATTTTTGATCGGCACTGCAGAGTCCGTCATCTTCTGCACATCCTGTTCTTACAAAACTAATTAATAATCCGATTAATATATGATTTATTAGCATTTCTTCGGAAGTAAACAAATTTGTGGCCTTTGGTTGCGGCGTCAGCAATGGGGCTGCCAACTTAATTGAAAACGATTAACATTTCCAGCAACGCTGTCAGTAAAATATAGTTAAATATAGTTTTAAATACAACAAAGCTACTACAAGTTAAGCAGAAAAGAAAACACTTACTGCAATTTAGCTGCAAATAACTTAAGTGAAGAAATTAATTAGTGGTATTACTTTCAGTACCTGGCAGCCCTGGCAGCAAAGCAGTGATTCAACTGTTACTCTCTTAGGAAGACCATGCCACTGCATTCTCAAGCAAAGGCCTACTGAAGTAACCATCATTCGGCATGCCCAACCATGGGATGGTCACCCTAAGCGAGTAACTGTTCGCAGAGTTTTACTTTTCCACGCCGTGTGCACACACTGGTCGCTCCAACCATTATAAGAAAACCAACAAGAAACGTCGAAAGTTTTCTCCGTGTTAAAGCCAGCCAATAGCCAAATTACAAACGAAAACGACGATTTGCAAACTGCAAATTATGCGTGCGGCACCCAGTGCCATCGAAACCACGTCAACCCAACGAACGCGAGTGTTTTAGACCACCTGCAAACCAGAAACAACCACCACTGTACATAATTTACACGAACAATTTTGCAACGACAACAACAGGAACAACAACAAAGGACGCCGCGCTGAAAGAGAGAAGTTGACATAACTGCAAAAAGTAAATTGTATTTAACAGTGGTGGGCAGATAAATAAAGCCCGGATTGTAATATTGGCAACGAAAAAATCGGAGTGGGAGTGGCCCAATTGCAAAAACGATATTGTTTTGTTGAGACTATTGCCAAAAAGCCACCAAAAGTTCAACTGAAAAAGGTAATACTTGTATTGTTATTTATTTGTGTGTGTGTGTGTGAGTGTGGGCGTACTACGAATAACAGTTAATTGAGCACTCATCGATTTTTTAGCCGCTTTATTGTGGCTCGTAAAGGCAACTTAAATTCATTTCACCTCACGATTCGATCGCCAGATAAAATACAAAGAAAAAATAGAAAAAACTGTCGGAAAAGTTGCCAGCGATCGTCATTAAGTTGATTTGCTACCGCCGCTGATGCTGCGATTTAATTTACCTGGCATTTGGATTGCTTTCGAGAGCTCCAGTTTCCCATTCCGTCGCATTCCACCTGGGCTTTTCGTTTCTCGCCTTTGATTTTCATTTCCCATCCAGCGGCCGATTTTCCTCGCCGAAAAATCGCCGTATCGCTTTCGTTTTCACATTGGACGGCGCTGTAATGGTATTTTGTTTTTGGTCCGCGACCTAGGGTCGCATTGGCCCGCCCCTTCGCGCCCGCCCGCCCATCAGAGCACCTGACTAATTAGTGTTGAGTTATTAACTTGATAATTATCGCTAGCCACGAGCGAGGGGCACCATAGAAGTTCTGGAGTGCAGATCAGCTTCCGTGACACTAAAACATTTCTTGAGATCATTTTCCAATGGTGCATTAACCATTTCAATGGTTTGCTTTAAGTTCTTATTGTACAACATGGATTAAAGTAAGTCCAGTTAAGAATGTCATGGAAACTGTTTTCCTAGTATAAAAACAATTGCCGCCATTTAAAAATTATCCACTTTTTCTGATAATAGTGGAAGTAGTATAAAGAAAAGTATGATATCTTAATCAGATGCAACATTATAAAGTGAAATTACGGAAGTCGAACTGCATCTGTGCCTGCAGTGACTAAGATATAACTTGGATAGCTTTGAGGTCTTTTCGGTAAACTTGTTTGGAACACCATATCGAAATACTGAAAACGAAAAAAGAAACAAACAGTAATTCGAGCTTGTCGCTGACTAAAGCTTCGCTTTGTTTATGGAAATATATATGGTCATAATCAAGCTTTTGGAACCAAAGTCACACGTAAATCTCTGCGCATTCAGACGTATCGATGCGACTATCGTTTCCCATCAATGGTTCTTGGGAGTAAAACTACGAATCATTTGCATTTCAGTGGCGTGGAGACCCTCGCCTTCTAATGACTCGATTGATTTTCATTTTGGGCGACCCTACTCGTTTGTGTAATGCCGGAAGTCGTTCGTCGTAACTTCTTGTATTGATTATAGATAATAATCTAAGAATGTTTTCTGTGGAACGTCTGCCAAATGGTCGGTGGCCAGCTCAAGCAGCTGCCATTAGCCGCAGTCACGCTGTCTGGCCTGGCCTGGCCCATACATCAATTATGTACTCCTTTGGCCAGGCAATTGACTCCAACCCCCGTCCCAGAACCACCCATTTCCACCAGCTCCTACTGCCACTCCCACACCCACTCGCATTTCACGTGAAATGTGGCATGCCTAACCCAACCAGATGATTCATCATAACGTGGCATAGGCAGTTTATGCAGATTCCATACCTTTATGCCAGCCAAGTGGCTGTAACACATTTTCATTTATGCTCTGCTCTCGGTCCCAATTACTCCCTCTCACCATTTTCCGTAATTTTCTGGCCAAAGAGTGCGCCTGCGCATTGGAAAATCGCTTTTCCAGAGCGGTAACTCGACTGCCGAGAGGCGTGTTGAATTTTGTTATCTTCAGGGTTGGACGACTTATCCAATTGGGCTGTTATTTTGACATGCTCCTTGAAACTCCTGGATTCCTCGATTATTTACAACGAACGTAAACCAATGAATTAGAGATGGATTTTAAGAGCTTCCCAATGTTTCACAATTTCCACACATAAGACAGCTTTTGTTTAGAAATTGTTACCGTCTTGTTAATTCAATTCCACACACTTTCTTTTGCCGCAGACTAAAAATATATCCCTTTCGCTGCGCATCGCATGTCCAGCTGTGTCAGCTTCTTTGGAATTTCTTGATGTTTCGGAACTGGCGGTCCGTAGATAATTTTTGGTGCGATTATGTGGCGTGCCTGCTGACTGACCGCTCGTACATCATTAGCTCATCTGTGGGGGATTGTTAGCTAATGGCCGATACTGCAACTGCATTAATAATATAATAATGTATACGCTGTCTGTTTGTGTCATTAACCTCGGAACGGAACGGAACGGAACGGAACGGAACGGGTTTCCTGCGCTCGCAGCTGGAAAATCGCTCGCCTTTGGCGGCGACTCTAATCTGCATAGAATGCGGATCGTCTTGGAATACTTAACTTCTCCCCCCCACGAGAGAAACCAGTTGGCCAATGGCCAATAGTGGGCCAAATGCGATTGGTAGCATTTCAGTGGGTTTTTCGGGCGCATGCGTGACCGATCGACAGTTGGCTTTGTTTACTTTTCGGGTTATTGATCGGCAGGCGCACGATTCGATACTCCGTCCGTCTTATCAGCACGCACACACTCCTATGTGCAGCTAATACGGCGGATCTGGTCATGGGCTCTGTGTCATGGAGCAGGCGGTTGGCTATCAGCACGAGCATGCTGCTCCACTTTTCTGCCTGTGCCCGCCTCTCCGCCTCGCGCTGAGTATCGCTCTCTGTAGTGAACGCCGCCGGAATACCCTGTTGTTGGCTCGAATACCCTATAAGTGGGGCTGTTTGCTTGTTGTGCGGATTGGGAATGGAAGTAAGCGTGTGCTAAACAGTAATTCCAAATCAAATTGCTCGAATAAGAAAAGTAAAGCCAGTAATCAGAATGTAAGTCTTAAGAAAAGTACTTTGTACTTTCATCTGACTAATATGATGAAAGAGTATATTATTTAGTAATTTTCTTCATACTTTATGTTAAATGCACATAAAGGCTTTTACATTTTGGAATTGCAGCTAGTAGGGTAATTAATTGAATTTTTAGCTGTTGTTTTGAATATTTGGTGTAGTTGAATAATTTTCCACCAAGTATCGTAATTTTTATACCAAATTTACCTAAAGTTGGGCATTTGAAACGTGTGCGCTAGCGCTTCGTGACTGGAAGAGTTGGCCCACTGTGTGCATCTGGCCCGGGGGTAGCTGCCTCTGCCTCTGCCGCTGCTTTATGCTGCGCGGCAGAAAGCAGCGCCAGCATAGCGGGCGGAGTGAGCTGCGAGCGGAATGGTCGAGGCGAGCCGAGCGCCCAAATGAGTTACAAAGCAGCGCCACACATCGACGGTCGACTGTGCCCGCTCACTTTGTGCTCACTTTGCTCGGCGGCTGAGTGGCTCGTGGTTGGGTCGGAAATCGCCTTGTCGTGTGTGTATCCCCCTGCGGAATCGAATTTGGAGGCAAATACATATTTAGACTCGTTTATGATTGCCCAGTTCTATATTCAAGTGCGTGGAGGAATATAAACATAACGCGGGTTATTTGGCAATATACACGCGACTAATTACGAAATCGATAAGTCAGCGCCTTGGGAAAACTCACCACACCCACTCAAAAGCCAGAATCTCTAGCTCTCTCCGGGCTTGAGTTTTCCATTTCCCATTGCCCATTTTCCACTTCCAGCAGTGCGTATATAGAGTGCATTTCGAAATAGTTCTAATGTGGAGCATTGAGCTTCAAGTGAATATTTTGTTCAACTGAATTGAATCACTGTTCGCCAAGTGCTCAGCTTTGTGTTTTGTTTCGTGCGTTACTTAATTATCAATTGTTTGCGCCTTATCGCTGGAACAAAGCATACTATATACTATATAATGGATACAGTCACTCTATGTGACTCTACAATGGATATTTCCGCATGGATCGACAGAGATTCTCGTTTGCCAAAGGTAAATGCGTTTTTATTTGGCAAATTTTAGCAGCCTAGGCAGCCACAAGTTTGCATTTGTTTTGGAAAATCGATTTTCTGGAGAGAGAGGGCGCTGCTCTCTTTCCGCCTCTCAGCTGATTGCCAGGGGGAGAAAGTGGGCGTGGGCGGTGGGCGGTGGGCGCTGGGCGGTGGGCGGTTGGTTGTGGGCGTTGGGCGGTGGGTGGTGGGTGTTAGTGTTCCAGCCCCGTTTCCTTGACACGCTACCTTTACCCGCAGATACTTTTCTTTCGCGTGCTGTGTGCAATTGAATCCGCTCCAAAATGAATCGCCACTGAGTCACTGGGCCCACTCACTCTCTGCAAGATGTAGTTTCGAATCCAAGAGGCCATGTCGTGGCAATATCTACCAGCTGGCGGAAGAGGGTTGTTCCATGCGGTGGACGCGATATGAATATTGGCCACCCTCTGAGCCGGAAAACTTTCTGCCTGGCGAACCCATTTGGGCCTTATTTATTGGTTTTCGTACCCAGGAACACCCCCAAAGATTGCAGTCCAATGGCTCACTTTAATTAACCACGTATGCAGTATTTATTGAGTTTCAGTGGTAGTCAGATTGCTTGGCGCACTGGAAAAAACTTTCAGCACCAATCTCATGTTATGTATAAGACAATCGAGCTTCCATAACTCAAATTACCGACTTTCACATACAAATAGTGATTCAGTTTTTCTGGACAATAATACCGAAAACGAGCTCAATGTCCTGCAGTCATATATAGGTCATATTTAGGTTGATAAGACGGTAGTACATGATATATTAGAATCATCTATACTTGTAACACAAGAACAACTTATATAAAAGATTCCAAACTAATGAGCAATATGCATGACATATTCACTTGTCATAATGCCTTAGAATAATGACAAATTGTTTTGGACAAATCCGAATATGGGCGCACCTAGGCACCATGATGCCTACTGTGAGCAAGAATTCAATTGACTGCGAAATAAATTTCATTACTTATGGCTTGCCAAAGTCTCATGTAAAGTATTTATAACCCGTACATATGCACTGTGAATAAATGGAGGCCATATATGACAACCCAGAGGCGTCGCCCACATGCGAAGTTGCCGCAGAGATATAATAATAACTCTGAAGCAATACGAGTATGTGCACAGATCTGAGATATGTGAGTTCCCCAAGCTTCGCTCTCGTTTCTCCGCGATCTCTGCTGTCTCGTGGATATAACGTAAACAGTTTTAAATTACAAAAGTGTTTGCACCCAGATTCCATGGGATATACGAGAGTGTCTCCCTTTACCTGCTTGTCTATGAGTTAGGTATGTTGGTTAAGATACCAGAAACTCGTCCACGCCAATAAGTGTTGTTTGGATATCATCACTCTTAATGCCTGCAAAGATAAGAATTTCCCCATCACTGGCGCACCTGCTGGCCATTCATTGATCTGCTTTGTGTTCCAATCTGTTCTCTTGGCCACGTTCAAAATCAATTTGTTGGAATGCCGCTCGACATGTGTAGAACCACTTAGTGTTTGTTTTTATGAAACTGTTTTAATGCAAAGACATTTTCGAATTTGGGTTAAAAATGTGTGAATGAAATATTGAATCGCTCCGCAAACATTTAAAAAAGGGGAACAGGCAGACGTGCCCGGGGGAATCAGTAGTCCGGCGTCTTGGAGTCCGCCAGCTTTTTTGGAGTCACTTGGCATAGATTGGTAATGCCACTCGAACACTCGAAGACCCACGGGCAGACAGTCCAACAGATAGTTGGATGGATGGATGGGGGGCAGGAAACTGGGTCATTTGCCTAGCGTCTGTCTTGTTTAAATACTTGCGCCTGATTTATTGGGGACTTTGTAAAGTTGATTAATCAAATGGACTCGCGAGCTGCTTTCGTTGTTGTTCGCTGCAGTTTTTGGGTATTTTTCTCACATTTTCATTTAAGTTTTGGGTGCGTTGTCAAATTTATGGGTCTTAAGAGACGTTGCCTGCGTTGATATCGTGGAATTAAGTTGCATAAGCTATGCACAATCCAAAGCATTGTGTCCGTAGATAAAGCTTCATTAGGTTGCTTTCCAAAAATACCTAGAAACCGGAAAGGATCCAAGGGGAACCGCACCTTTTGGATCAAATCCGCTTAAGTGAGTAGGAGTTTAATATTCTGTAGGCCCACAAAGCTCAGTGTACCTAGATGACCGGTGGCAGTTGAATAACCCCAACCTTTTGATTACCATATGAAAAACACCTTTTGCATCGTAACTTTTTTGGATTATCTGGTAATTATTGTTATTGGCTTTCCCAAAGCTTCCGTAGCATTTCTCTCTCTTTTCGCTGATTAGCCAGCTACAAACGGAGCCGAAGACGCCGATTTGATGGCTATTGTCTCGCCAAAGACACATAATTGTGGGGGAAGCGTGATACTTAAAGGTGCCCCCGGCGGCTATGTGGGGGCTGCAGAAAGGGGAGAAGGTCATTTGGCTGGAATTCCGCGTCACTTTATGGCCGTTGTGCGAACATTTTTCCCCATTTGTTTTTGTGGAGCCAGTAATGATATACCCAAGACCGTGGCATCTTTTTCCACCGAATGTAAATTGAAAATTACTTTGCGGGCTCTTTTTATTAGGTTTTTGGTTTTCTCATTTTTTCGTATGTCTTTCAAAGCGATTACAAAACTTCCACCATTATAATTAATAGCCATAGTCTTTGTGTCTCCCATGACGCATTGAGACGAAAAATTGTATGCCATTTTTGCATAGCCGTAATTGATGATACGCTCCAAGAGGTTGCAGAATATTATGCACTGGCCATGGTGCACTTCCGCTCCATTTGGAGGCAATGCGATGCTTGACTGCAATGGGTTGCAATAAATAATATTCAGAAAACTAGAGTGCCATGTAGAATGCAACACGAATTCAGTGAGCTTCCCTATGTCTAAAAATTGCATACAATTTAACTGTATTTATAATTGAGATCAGCAAAGGTGAATCAGAAAATTAAGCTCAATAAAAGGTTCAGACAATGTCGTCTGAAGAGTGATTACTTAACTTAAACGTGGCTCATGATTCTCATATTGTGTATTGTTTTTGTTTAACTTGTTCAAGCTCTGATGAATATTGTTAATAATTCTTCTCAATTCTTGTGTCATTGCAGGTAAGCTTAATATTAAACTGAGCGGAAATGCGTGTGCCTTGTATGGCCACGGGCAATCGATTGACAGGCGGTTCAAGGTCGAGGCATCTGCCTACATCCGATGGATGGGTACTAACGAGTGCCCATATCTCTTACGGAATCGGTTTGAATGGAGCGCTGCGTGCTCGAGTGCTTAAAACCCAGCCCAGGCTGTAGACACGTCGTTCTGCCTTCAAGAGCTTCGATTGACACAAAAACTGTGAGACAGCGAGAACTAGAGGGGTTTTGCGTATTACCTTTTTAAAGATATCTGTTTTTTCAGTAAATGCGAGCTGCTTTTATATGTTTGCATACCCACCTAAAAAAAACTGGCATCCTACTGACCACACTTCAATCAGAAACTCCACTCTCTTGACTTACTTTCCAAGTATTTTATTTCCGCCTCGTCATCATCAGTAAACCAAACACTTGTCTCCACTATTCATCGGTGTGCCCAGGGCACAGCCGAACTCCCGTCCAAACTCCGCGGAGTTGCTGAGCGGTCCATTGACATCCCATCTCTCCGGTGTGTGCTGCATCAGAGGCATCGAGTCCAGGATGGCTTCCTGGTTGTCCTTTGCCCAGCAGCGCGTTTGTGCAAAGTATATGAAGAACAGCTGGGTGTTGGTGAAGTTCAACTCCGGCAGCGTTTCTTTCGCCAGCAGTGGGCGTAGCTTGTGATCCTGCTGCTCCAGCCAAGCCAAATATGCGTTGAAAGCCAAGTTGAGACCGCTGCCATCGGCTATAATCTCTCTTAGCCTGGTGGCATTGCGAAACTCGCCAGGTTCGTTGTACAAGTAACTGCTGTACTGAGCCCGCTGGCACTCGCTGGCATTTCGGTACCCAGACATGGTCAGCTCATTCCATTGGGACGTCGCCTGTGGATGATGATTCCATCCCTCGTCATCGAATGCCTGAACCAATGCACTGGCCAATCGGTGGCCCAATAACGCATATTTTAGAGACTTGGGGTAGTAGTAATTGTAGTAGGGAGCCTGCAGCAGACCCCATCCAACCAGGATCATTTGCTGGCGGGGCGATAAAGCAGCTCGCACCTCGAATGCATCCAGACCGTCTGTATCCTCGCCGAAATCGTTGCCCCTGAGGCCTTCGAACTGCTGATGGGAACGATACTTTAGAGCAATCTCTAAACGGCGCCAGTAGTCTTCCGACTTCTGGAACTGCAAATCGGAGAGGTCTAAACTCTGGTAATCCGGCAGTGAGACTCGATATTGAGAAAGCCTGGTTCTAGCCGCTCTCCGATCGTTCTCGTCCATCCATTCCACGTGGAACTGCTCCTCGAGCGCCTTGATCACATCGTTGAATACGGCGTCCAGATCATGTTTCGCATTATCCCGCTGTACATGGCGCTGAAACATTTCACCCAAAACTTGCGGAAAGAGACGTTGCGTCACCTGGACGCATTGGCGGGCACGTTGTGAAGGTGCTTCCTCCGGCGGCTGATTGAGTTCATTCAGGGCCACGTATATAATGTAGCCACCAACTGTGATGCGGTTATTGGCCTTAACAGTCCTCACCACATGTTTTACGTATTCCGGAGAACGGAGGTAGACTTGGGATGGGTACTGACTCTCTAGGATGACCTCTACCAACATTTTGAAGTCCAAGTGATTGCCCATCTCGCTGGTGAGCTCGGTCAGGGTCATTCCTCCTTTCTGGCGCCGTAGACGCTCTTGACCAGTTCGAGGGCGTGCGCCGTAAATTTGGGCCTGAATGGCGGGCGGAAACTCCTCCTCTGTCTTCTGAATATCCTGTTCTCCCATTTGTTTGCATAGCTCAAACTCGAAACGGATAATGTCTCCGGCGAACCTAGC